CAGTGAGCAATCCTTCCTGTTGCTGGTGACCATGTAAATGTCTCTCTGTATAAATGAGATGTCATGTTTCCCAACAGGAATAAAAAGCTCATTAAATTATCACCACAGATGCACACACTACTTGAGTAGGGGCTGTAAATATTTACATATTTACCTGTGAGTCACTTTCTCTTTGCACATTACTGCTGGCCTGTTTTCCAGAGTTTCCGGAACAAAAGAAGCCCGTCTGGAATTATTCTGTCAGTCCCTCAACAACAATTGATAAGCAGAAAGCCTTTTCCTTGTTCCATCCTCTTCCCCACATTTAATAAAAATGAGTTTGGGTTTATATTTGTCCTTTAATATATTAGCTAATCAAATGAATCACACAAGATAAATATTTACCAGTTCTGGGAAAAGAGATCTCATTTTATAAGCTTATACGAGCAAATGATGCTGAAACCTTTGAGAGACATTGTGGCTTAACTCCTGTTTTGAAAACACACAGGTTCTTTTAAATTCATATTTCACAACAGAATTTGTATTATTATAGCCACATTTTAAATGCAGAACACTTGTCATTACTTAAGTTATAATAATAATATGATGTCAGAACATGCTTTGAGAAAAGTCTGAAGGAAAATATCCCAACTGTGAATAGTGGTCTCTGACAGAGAGAGCAGACTTTCACTTCAACATTATTTATTACTATGTATTATTTTTATTCTGAGGAAAAGAAGCAATTTTTTATGTTTTTATTGATTTTTTTTAGAGAGAGAGAGGAAGGGAGAAAGATACAGAGATAGAAACATTGATGAAAGAGAAACCTCTATTGGCTACCTCTTGCACATCTGCAACCCAGGCATGTGCCCTGACCAGGAATCAAACCAGACACCTTTTGGTTCACAGGTTGACGCTCAATCACTGAGCCACACCGGCCAGGGTAAAGAGATTTTGAAGTAGGAAAACATTGAGACATTCAAAGATAATAGAAAGGGACAAAGAGCTGCCTTTCTTCAAATATCTGTATGTCTTTGAAGCCCGCAAATCAATAACAAAAACACCATTTCACAAAACCTTTGACCCCTTTCTTCAGGGTCAAAGAGAAGTTTTAAACCATTGGCCTGAAACGGTTGTTGTCACGCGCATACACGGGACTGGTGTGAACAGTAGTCAGGATCTTTTGAGCTCAAAGACATAATTTCTATAGCACAACCAGTCTCTGTCCATCCCCCACACCTGGAGAGGAGGAGGGATTTCCAGAAGCCTTAGATTTAGAATTCTTTTTAAATGAAAGCAAGAAAGCTCTGATGGTTACTTACAAAAAAGAAACTATTCCATTTTGTTCAATATTTATCTTAGAGTGCTGAGAACAGAAAGTCCACTGAATCATAATTGCCAACATTCATTGAGCTCTTCCTGCATGCAGGACACCTCGTTTAATCTTCACGGCAAGCACATGAAGTAATATACTGTTGTCTACCCATGTACCTGTGAGAATGCCCAGGCTCAGAGAAGTTTCCCTAGGTCAGCTAGCTTGGAAGTGGGAGCTAGGAGCAATCCAGACAGACAACCTATGTTCATATCTCCTACTCCATCATGCTAACAAATCAGTGATTTCAATGGCAATGGTTGACACTACATTTAGTGGTCCAAAGGGTATATATACATGTTTAATTTCTCCTACGTACACTTGCTCTACAGGCTAGCGGTAGCCTTTCACTTTAATGAAATACACTTCAAAATCTTTCCAGTGTATTCTGGACTTCTGTCAAGTTAAAAGTTAGCATCTGGGTGAATTTTTGTTTAACATTTTTTTAAAATTGGGGGAGGGGGGTACTCCTCACCTGAGGATGTTTTTTCCATTGATTTTTACAGAGAGTGGGAGGGTGAGGGAGAGACAGAGAAACATCGATGTGAGAGTGACACATCCATTGGTTGCTTCCTGCACGCACCTGCACCCAAGGTATGTGCCCCTGGGCAGAATTGAACTCAAGACCCTTTAGTCCACAAGCCAACACTCTAACCACTGAGCACACCGGCTAGGACCTTAAAATATTTTTTATCAGGAACCATAATCCTTTTCCAAGTATGTAAAGAACCACTTACATTATTCATCCAAACTGAGTAAATGGATGCTTAAACAGACTTGAAAACTATTTCTACCCAAAGGTTGAATCATCTGTCAACTGCAAGGCTGACAAGGAAAGGTACTGATGTCTGTGTACCTTTTCATTTTAAACAATATTTACACAGTCTAGTGTTTCTCTGAACAAGAAGACTGAGGTAGCCGGTACATGAAAACTCCATCACTATGGCAACTAGAAATGGCAATGATTGCACAGTGATTCATCATGTATCCCAAATAGAAACTGTGCCAGGGACAGACAAATACTCAAAGCCATGCTTCATTGGGAGAAAAATCCAGTTAAAGAATAACCTGGGGCTGATAGTTGTTTTTAAGTGTTTATCAAACGTTTACACTTTTATGCTAGAAAATCTATTTTAATATTAACTCCAGTTCAGAGGAGTCCTTACTGTCTTCTAAAGAAATGTTCTTGAAGTCACTCATTCACTCACTCCACTAATTACTATTTGCACAAAGTAGATGTCCTCTGCGGTAGGTAGATGTCCTCTGCTGGGGCACCCCGATCGGAACAAGATAAGCCTCACTGAGCTTCCAGTTTGACTAGTAAGCAAATAGGCAACAAGTAGATGGTCTGACACACAGTTTGCTGCCTGACGTACAGAGTGCTCTGGAAGTCGCACATGACTTCCCAGAGGAAGAGGGGGCTAAGCCGAGACCTGATGCAGGTGTATGACCTGCCAATCAAAGCAGGGCAGGGACGTGTGCAGGCCTCAGGGGAGTTCCAGGCAGAGGGAGCAGCAGACATTAAGGTCTGAAGAGTAGAAAGCAGAGCACCTATGGAACCAAAATATTCTGAGTGGCTAAAACATGGACCGTAGCATGGTGGTGGAGAGAATATGAAAATGGAGAGATGGGGGAGGGCACAAAATGAGGGGGTTTGCACCTAAAGGCCCAGCAATGACAAAGAGTGAACTATTGCTACATGTGCACTATGGGTTAATACCATAGACACAATGTAAATCAAAAGAAGCCACACACAAAAGAGTACATATTGTATGATCCCATTTACATGAAATCCAAAACCAGGCAAAACTAAATAATGACAACAGAGATCCACAAATGGGAGAGGGTCTGACTCTGAACAGGACATGAAAAGGGTGCTGGAAATGTCCTACATCTTCACCTGGGCAGTGGTTAAACTGGCTGTGCATAGACACAAATCTGTCAAGTTTACACTTATGATTTGTTCCTGTGGTCTTAAACAAGTTATGCCTTAATAAAAAGAGTGGGAATCAAATGAGCAAAAGTAATAGCTAAGTATTTAACAAAATAAATGACTTCCTATATTGGAAAAACATCTGCTTATACAAATAAATCAAAAGGATCAAGGATTGCTATAAAAATATAATAAAGAGCTTTAAGATAAGGGAAACATTTTTTGTACCAGTCCTTATGTATTTATTCACACACTTGATAAAAATATCTCAATTAGGCCCTAGCTGGTTTGGCTCAATGGATAGAGTGTCGGCCTATGGACTGAAGAGACCCAGGTTCGATTCCGGCCAAGGGCACATGCCCAGGTTGCTAAGAGCAAAGAGCGTTTCAAGAAAGAGAGCATGATCCACAGTACCAAATCCTGCTACTCAAGGAAGAGGAAGACAAAAAAAGCAACCATTGGATTTGGTAGCCAAGAAGTCCTTGGTGACTATTACAAAAGCAATTTCCGCCCTAGCCAGTTTGGCTCAGTGGATAGAGCATCGCCCTGCAGACTGAAAGGTCCCAGGTTCGATTCCGGTCAAGGGCATGTACCTTGGTTGCAGGCACATCCCCAGTAGGAGGTGTGCAGGAGGCAGCTGATCGATGTTTCCCTCTCATTGATGTTTCTAACTCTCTATCCTTTCCCCTTCCTCTCTGTAAAAAATCAATAAAAAATATATATATATTTAAGAGAAAAAAAAGCAATTTCCAAGAAAGGTGAGGAGGAAGTCAGATTGGGAAAACTGGGCAGAAGGGAAGTAGAAAAATCAATTGTGAACTTCTTTTTCAGAAAGTTTGGCTCTAAAGCAGCGGTTCTCAACCTGTGGATCGCGACCCCTTTGGAGGTCGAACAACCCTTTCACAGGGGTCGCCTAAGACCATCGGAAAACACATATATAATTACATATTGTTTTTGTGATTAATCACTATGCTTTAATTATGTTAATTAGTAACAATGAAAATACATCCTGCATATCAGATATTTACATTACGATTCATAACAGTAGCAAAATTACAGTTATGAAGTAGCAACGAAAATAATTTTATGGTTGGGGGTTACCACCACACGAGGAACTGTATTAAAGGGTCGCAGCATTAGGAAGGTTGAGAACCACTGCTCTAAAGGGAAGGAGAGGAGCAGGAGGAAGATAGGTTAAGGAAGGACTTTAGTTTGTTAGTATTTTTTCTCAAGTTAAGATATACATAAGCATTTATGTCTAAATTTATGATAATGGATTTTAAATGATCATAAATGAAAAAACTAAAGTGTGAATACATTATCATACATATGGACATGTAGCATATGTGGACATGTTCAGGTCCTTGAAATGAAGAAAACACAGCAAAGTTCTCATCAACTCAACCATCTGGTTACAAATGTGCTTAAGTTATGTTAACACTCCAATGCTGGTGAAATAAGGCATAAACTGGACACATTTTAAACCATGAAGCAGCACATTACAGCCGAAAGAAAAATGGATGTTCAATGACTACCATTAGAGGAAAGACTCTACACTCTTCCCTCCCCTCCTACCATTCAATAGTACAAAAACATTCTTTGGCATTGAACAAAAGAATAAGTTTGAGAGTAATAGAGAAAAGAAAATTAAGTTACAATGGCTTTTTAGTTCTGTATGCTATTCATTTCCACGAGAAACAGCTATTAAATACCTACCTGCTTGGGAATTTTCAGGATGCTTGTCGGGATGACATTCCAGGGCTCTGACCTTAAATTCTGCTAGGATCTGTTCCACCTAAAACAAAAATCAATGTTTAAAATAAAGAGTCCAGATTATATGCCATGAAGGAAGAACTTGGACATCAGTCCTTCCCAAAACAGCCATGATCAACACAACTTTTCATTTTGATCTTTATATTTGTATTTTGACTTTTTTACTCTAAGAAATAATTTCCTTAATCACACAATTCAGAAAGCATCCAGTAATAGCCCCAATTCAAATAGTGGTTTGTGATGACAATTTAACTTGTTGATGGCCCAAGACATCTATGAGCTCAATACATTTGTCAAAAATGGTCAGATAGGTTTATCCTAAGAATGTGTGCAAGTCCTACATCTGAGTTCTTTAAGATACTTAGCCACCATTCATTATTCAGGGATGACTGTCCAGTTTATAAATTATTCATTATAAAGTTCCTTCTTCCTGTCTTTTGGCCCTTTTCAGTTTTATTAAGAATTTCACGCTCTTGCAACTCGGCCGCCAACATGCCATCCAGACTGAGGAAGACCCGCAAACTTCGGGGCCACGTGAGCCACGGCCACGGCCACATCAGCAAGCACAGGAAGCACCCGGGGGGGCCGTGGGAATGCTGGCGGCCTGCATCATCACAGGATCAACTTCGACAAATATCACCCAGGTTACTTTGGGAAAGTTGGTAAGAGGCATTACCACTTGAAGAGGAACCAGAGCTTCTGCCCAACTGTCAACCTTGATAAACTGTGGACCCTGGTCAGTGAGCAGACACGGGCGAATGCTGCCAAAAGCAAGACTGGAGTTGCTCCCATCACTGATGTGGTACGGTCGGGCTACTACAAAGTTCTGGGGAAGAAAAAGCTCCCAAAGCAGCCTGTCATTGTGAAGGCCAAGTTCTTCAGCAGAAGAGCCGAGGAGAAGATTAAGGGTGTTGGTGGGGCCTGCGTCCTGGTAGCTTGAAGCTACATAGAGGGGAGCTCATTAAAATGTCCAAGTACTTAAAAAAAAAAAAAAAAAAGAATTTCACAATTTTTTTTTAAAAGGACATAGCCCTGGCTGGCTTGGCTCAGTGGATAGAGCGTCGACCTGCAGACTGAAGGGTCCCAGGTTCGATTCCGGTCAAGGGCACATGCCTGGGTTGCAGGCTTGATCCCCAGGAGGGGGCGTGCAGGAGGCAGCCGATCAATGATTCTCTCTCATCATTGATGTTTCTATCTCTCTCCCTCTCTCTTCCTTTCTGAAATCAATAAAAATACATTTAAAAAAATAAAAAGGACATAACTCAAACCTGATCATTTCGCTACCAATTAACAGCTTGGTTAGAGACTTTGACTAGGAAAACAGAAACTCCAGCCCAAACTAGAATTATGTTTAGGGCCATCTATGATTTAATTTAATCCTTAGTATCAGAAATAATCAACATTTGGCTTTATTTAATATAACTGCAATGACAGCAGCAGGAGACAATAGTGGTTATGTGGCTCTGGAATCTAACAATTTAGTTTTATTTTTTTCACTTAAATGTTTTGTTTTAATAAATAAAGCATCATGGCTTAGATTTTAAATCACATTTACAGATAAGGAGCATTTCTAAGCCCAAACAAGTAACAGTGAAGCTACTACTGCTGGAAGGAATGCATGCCCCACAGGTATGTTAAGCCTAAAGAGCAGAGACTTACCAGCAGAACACACCATACACATAACCTCTAGACTAGATAACTAGAAGCAGAGGAAGAACACAAGTTTGGGTAAAGTCCATGCAGCAACCACCTGATTTCTTCACCTTCATGCTGCAGAACCAACTGGAAGTTGTGTTACTTTTAGATAAGCTAGAAGTAGGTTCCCTGATCATATTAAATGAAACTCTCTCCCATTTTTAACAATTAAGTTAAGGGCATTAGTATAGAAGGATATCCACAAGTAAATACAGAGTATTAGAATAGCAAAGAGGAAGCTACATAGATCATCTTGCTTCTTCAAAATCAGAAACTTCTACATCATAGCAGTGCATGAATTCCACCTCCCAAAGGCTTAGTTCAATAATTTTCTCCTTTTCCTTGTTAAGCAACTACTGAGAACCTCTTAGAATAACAGGAAGATATAGACTTCCTATTAAGAACTGAAATCAATTGTTTCCTCTTCCTGTTGCTCCCTTTAAACCATCAGTCACCATTACCTGCTTATACAGCAAAGAAAATTGAGAATAGCTTGTTTTTCAATTTTAAAATATTAAATATTCTAAAGATCCTAGCAAGAATTTTATAAATTGGGGGGGAAAAAGAGGAACAACTGTAATGATCTGAATAAAGATTTAATTTTAAAAAAAAGAATTTTATAATTAACAAGTAATTTATGAATACTCATAATCAATCTTTGAAAAAAAAATCTAGCAATACAGATAAAAATTAAAAGCTCCTTGCCTACCGAAACCGGTTTGCTCAGTGGATAGAGCGTCGGCCTGCGGACTGAGGGGTCCCAGGTTCGATTCCGGTCAGGGGCGTGTACCTGGGTTGCGGGCACATCCCCAGTGGTAGATGTGCAGGAGGCGGCTGATCGATGTTTCTCTCCCATCAATGTTTCTAACTCTCTCTCTCTCCCTTCCTCTCTGTAAAAAATCAATAAAATATATTAAAAAAAAAAAAAAAAAAAGCTCCTTGCCTTAACCGGTTTGGCTCAGTGGATAGAGCATCGGCCTGCAGACTCAATGGTCCCAGGTTCGATTCTGGTCAGGGGCATGTACCTTGGTTGAGGGCACATCCCCAGTGGGGGGTGTGCAGGAGGCAGCTGATTGATGTTTCTCTCTCATCGATGTTTCTGGCTCTCTATCCCTCTCCCTTCCTCTCTGTAAAAAAATCAATTAAAAATATATTTAAAAAAAAAAAAGAAAAGCTCCTTTACCCTCCTTCTTCCAAGATAAAAGGTTACATTCTTCAAGGCCCATTTTTTACATATATACATATATATCTTGGGGGTGGGGATGTTAATAAATGGATAAAATCATACCTATCTATCAACAGTAGAAATTTTGGGTTTTTATTGTTATTTTATTTTTTTATTCCAATCCCATTAGGAATCATTCTGCTATTAGCCCTTGGAAGCAAATGGTTAAAATAGTTAATTCTCCATAGTGCTAATGTGTATGATCGTTTCTTCTTTATATGTATACTAAAGGCCTGGTGCACAATAATTTATGCACTCGGGGGGGTCCCTCAGCCCAGCCTGTGCTCTCTCACAGTCTGGGACCCCTTGGAGGATGTCCACCTGCTGGCTTAGGCCCGCTCCCTGGGGGATCGAGCCCAAGCTGGCAGCCAGACATCCCTCTGGCAGCCCGGCAGCCCTCAGGGGATGTCCACTTACCAGCAGGGAGCAGACCTAAGCTGCAGTCGGACATCCTTAGTGCTGCTGAGGAGGTGGGAGAGGCTCCCGCCACCACTGCTGTGCTGGCAGCCGTCAGCCTGGCTTGTGGCTGAGCAGAGCTCCCCCTGTGGGAGCACACTGACCACCAGGGGACAGCTCCTGCATTGAGCGTCTGCCCCCTGGTGGTCAGTGTGTGTCATAGTGACCAGTCATTCCCAGTCATTCTGCTGTTAGGGTCAATTTGCATATTACCCTTTTATTATATAGGATAGAGGCCTGGTGCACAGGTGGGGCCGGCTGGTTTGCCCTGAAGGGTGTCCCGGATCAGGGTGGGGGTCCTGCTGAGGTGCCTGGCCAGCCTGGGTGAGGGGCTGAGGGCCGTTTTCAGACTGGCCATACTCCCTTCAGGGTGGGGGTCCCCACTGGGGTGCCTGGCCAGCCTGGATGAGGGGCTGATGGCTGTTTGCAGGCTGGTCAAGTCCCCCCTAGTGGGACCCGCACCCCATGGAGGTTTGGCCAGTCTGGGTGAGGGGCTGAGGGCCGTTTTCAGGCTGGCCAAGCCCCCTGGTGATGGAAGCTCCCAGCCTCTCCTTTTCTCTTTTTCTTTTTATTCTGGAATTTATTTACCTTCTATAATTGAAACTTTGTTGCCTTTTGCAGAGGCTACAGCCGGCTGTGGGAAGCTTGGCTTCCTCCATTACTGGAGCAACCAAGCCTCCTGCTCGCTCCAGCTCCGTGGCCACGGCCGGCTGAAAGCAGGTATCTGGGGTTTATTTACCTTCTATAATTGAAACTTCATTGCTTTAAGTGGAGCTCAGAGCCATCGCGGCAGGCGGGAAGCTTGGCTTCCTCCATCACTGGGGCAAGCAAACCTCCTGCTTGCTCCAGCTCCGTGGCTGCCGGCCACCATCTTGGTTGGGTTAATTTGCATATAGTCACTCTGATTGGCTGGTGGGCATGGCTTAAGGCATAGCGAAGGTATGGTCAATTTGCATGTTTGTCTTTTATTAGTGTAGATTTCTATATTTTGCCAATTTTAGAAAATTAAGAATAGTCCATATGTATCTTTCATTACCTTTCACAGTTTTACTATTGTAAAGTTTATCATAAATCTCTTATGTAGGGCTGGTTCTGGTTAAACTAACTGGTAAACTGGGCTACTTTGTCTTGGACACATTTTATTAACCTCCTGGCATCTCCACCCCATGTACCCAATGCCAAGTGCAACCCATGAGCAGGTGAGGCCCTCCATGGCAAGGTCCACTGAATCCCAACTTCCTAAGCCAATGTTCAATGGTCTGGAAAACTACCTACCCTGTGGGCCAGTAAACATACAAAAATATTCTACTTTATTTGTACTCAAATAAAGCAGAACATCCAAGGAATGATAACATCCAGTGTTACTGAAGGTGCAAAGAACTAAGCATTCTCATGCTCTCCTGGAGCTAATTTCTTGGAAAGCAATTGAGATATATGTATATTTTTTCATATTCTTTGATCCAACAATTCCAATTTAAGGAATCTGTCTAAGGCAGTGGTCGGCAAATTCATTAGTCAACAGAGCCAAATATCAACAGTACAACAATTGAAATTTCTTTTGAGAGCCAAATTTTTTAAACTTAAACTATATAGGTAGGTACACTGTTAACTTAATTAGGGTACTCCTATGGCTTAGGAAGAGCCAC